GAGGTCGCGAGCGGCGAGCTGGGCGACCACGGCTTCGACGTTGCCGCCTTCCGCGACGGCACCGGCCTGGTCGAATTCCTGGAGACGGCCGGCGACATCGAAATCGTCGTGCTCGACTGGAGCCTGCCGCGGGTCTCGGGCATCGACCTCCTGCCCAAGCTGCAGCGCGCGGGCATCAATCTGCCGGTGGTGTTCCTCACGGGACACAGCGAAGCCCAACTACGAGCAGCTCGCGCTCGATCGCGGCGCCATCGACTTCGTCGACAAGTCCGCGCGGCGTGCCGATCCTCGCCCGCCGCCTGCGCCTGATCGTCGAGCGGGCCGAGAAACCGATGTCGGCCGACGGCGAGGGCAACTTCCATTGCGGCCGGCTGCTGCTGAAGCCGGCGGTCAGCCGGGCGTTCTGGGACGAGACCGACCTCAACCTCACCGTCACCGAGTTCAAGATCGTCCATGCGCTCGCCTCCAACATCGGCAGCTACGTGAGCTATCGTTCGGTCTACGACTGCATGCACTATGTCGGCTTCATCGCGGGAAGCGGTGAGAATGGCTACCGCACCAACGTCCGCTCCTGCATCAAGCGCATCCGCAACAAGTTCCGCGCCATCGATCCCGATTTCAGCGAGATCGAGAACTACCAGTCGTTCGGCTACCGCTGGGGCAAGGAATAGCGCTCCGGTGCGCCGCCGCCTCGGCAGATTCCGTCGTCTCGACCGGAGCGCCCCTCGAGTTCCTCGGGGCGGGCTCCGCCGCGGAGTGGAGAGACCTTCTCTCCACGATTGACGGCTTTTGGTGTAAAGAAGGTCTCTCCACTCCGCACCTTCGGTGCTCCGGTCGAGACGACGGAATTGCCCCGTGTCGAGCTTTAAATCATCGGACGCCAGGCTACCGGTGCTCCGCCGCCTCACCGCCTCGCTCACGCTGAAGCTGGTGGCGCTGATCGGACTATTCGTGGCGCTGCCCATCGTGCTCTACGGGCAGTTCGAAAGCGCCGACAGCCAGATGCAGACGCTGGTGACGCGCGCCATCCAGGACCGCAGCGCGCTGATCGCCGAGGCGCTGGCGCCGGTGCTGCGCGACACCGACCCGTCGGAGCCGATGAACCTCAACCGCGAACTCGCCAAGTATGCGAGCAGCGGCACGGTGCTGAAGCTGATGTACCAGCCGCCCGCCGCGCGCACGGCGAGCCGTTTCTATCTCGTCGCCTCGGCGCCGCCACTGGGGCCAGAGGCAGTGACGGCCGAGCTCGATGAGCTGGGCCAGCGCGGCATCCTGCAGCGCCTCTCCGAGGCTTGCACCTGGAACGCCTCCGACGAGATGCGCTACAGCCGCGCCGACGGCACGGTCGAGCTGCTGACCTCGATCATCCCGATCCGCGCCCGCGGCAATTGCTGGATCCTGACGACCACGCACGTCGCCTCCGAGTTCCTCGATACATCGATCGGCCGGCCCTACTGGCAGACCCGCGAGGTGCGCATCGCC